CTCTGGAAAGCCAATCATTCTGAATAATCGACTTATTCATCACTAGAAATTAAAGGTTAAATAGTCGAAGGGTCACCACTCCGCCATTCGACGTTCTCGGCGGTGGGCCTAGCATTTGCAAGGCAGCAAGTTCCCTCCCCATATCCAGGGGCCCCGCTCAGTTTTATGGAGCCGAACATCAGCCAGTCGCAGAGAGGCTCCTGGATTATACGGTCTCTAGTCTGAATTTTGTAGAAATTAGCTGAGGCAAACTAACCCCACAGACAACCTGCCTGCTCTTCCTGGATGTAGTTCAATGTTATATATGATAATAATTAATTAGCTTGCCATCGATTTTGATTTTGATGTTTTCTTTTTTCCTTCACTTGTGGTATCTATAGGCCTACATAGGCCTAATCATATCTCAATTCATTTATCTGCAATGTAGGCCTTCAATTGAATTCAATAAACATTCATATGGTATTAAATTCTCTTGTACAGTAATAGGCCTACAAAAGAAGTGACCAAAGAGCACACAGACGAAAACAATTTATGTCAGTGTGCACCCCTTAAAAAATCAATTGTCAAAACAGTGCCAAAACATTAAAATCAACAAAATTGATCAATCAATTGCACCAGTCAATCAAGAAATCGTCGTTCAATTATTAAGCGAAACCAATTATTGGATCAACAAATATCATTATATTATATATATTAATATAATTGATGATAAATCAGATTTTCCAATGATATCATTCATGTTATCAATCCTGGGTCCTGGGTTCAATCCCTGTGACAGCAAGACTTTTTGTCACGACAAAATAACTCCAATCCAGCCTCATAAAAGGACTTCGCTGATAAAAGCATCACGTTATTTCATTTAAGAGGGCTCCTGAATATCAGCCGACAATATTAAGTCTTAAAGGCATAATAAACAGCAGCTACATCATAATGGTCTCATTCACGTGAGTATTGGCACATTTTGTCGCTGACGGGTATTAAACATGAATCATTATATACTTTATGAATAATTTGTGTTGCAATGATTATCTCATGCGACAGAAACTTTTTTAGATGACAAATTGATTTAAAAGGAATATCAAAACATGTATAAAATCGCCGTCTTATCGATTGATTATCTTGCAAAAACAACTTGTTCTTCCGTCTAGTCTCTTTCATTCCACATCGATGAACAGAGACACCGAAAACTGGAAGACCTGCCAACGGAAATGACTTAAAATCTGTGCATTTTCAGAGCTGCTTCCGAGCAACGTCCGTAAATATTTCTCATATTATTTGAAATTAAAACAACTAATTCATATGCAATATTCACTTGATCGAGTAGTACAGATTGAAGATATTTATGGATGTGACGTCAAAATGCAACGAGAAATGTTGAAATGTTTGTATTGATTTGATGAAATATCCTTAAAATCAACACAATTCAGTCGTTGTGCCACGATTTGTGTGGAGGCCGGGAGCGAAGGCTTCGACGGGGATGTAGTTGGACATTGTGAGCGAATCGAGTGGGTCTGGTGTAGTAAGGGTTCCAAGTGTGTTTAGACTACAGAGGACGAACCAACGTAGCTCCGGCAATGTAGAGATTTGAGAGGCTATGATTGATTCGAAACTTAGTGAACGATACTCCTTAAAATACAATGATTTCTGAAAGTAAATTAGGCATGCAAATCTGAATCGATTAATATGCTTTTATTACAAGTATATATAATATACTTGTAATAAAAACACCGACATAGACAAGTTATTCAAATAACATAATCGAACAACACGTTTTATAATAGAATAAAACAATAGGCCTATGTTGCTTTTCAAATAGATAGAACATTATTTGCATGGTATCGATTGACGATTATGCGTTCACTGTTGTAATTATTTTGGTGAAGGTTGAGGAAACAGAGAAAAAGAAATTCCCCCTTATTCTCCGTTGTGTAGGGTAGGTTTATCGATGAGGGACAATTCGTGATACCCGAGTGTGTTCATATTCCTATAAAAAAAAAAAACCCTGCATGTTCACATTAGTAATATGCCTTCTATTTACAATATTCTTCGTAATTTACATAAGGTTTACCGGTATTCATTATTATAGTCCATATAGTTATGTATAATTGCAACTCTTGTATAAATTAGAAGTGCAGCACGTGTTTGCCACACACATCATCAATCTGTGTTCTGTTCACAATCTATCTACAGTATATTTTAGTAGTAAACATGTTTTGTAATGTGATGTTTAACTAGTGACGCTTGAAATAGGTAGAAACAGTTAAATCTACTTAAAGACATCCTGTTCTAAATGTCATGCAACATTTTGCATGCTGAATGAAGATATTAATCAATACATTGTCTGTTTAGAGCTAATAAACTTATGATGTAAGTATCTAATTTCTTATAATTTTTAATAGAAAATTGGGCAGGACAATCATTGGTTTAGATGGTGATATTTATAAAATAAGGTAGTTTAGAGGTTTCGGATAACGTACGGTACACAAATCAGTTAAACTAAATTGTTTCGTTAAAAGTTAAACACCGCATTCTCAGTGTGCTTTATGACCAGTTCAACAACTTAATTTTAAAATTAAATGTGTCAACTTAAAACAAAGCAGTTAGAATATTAATTAATTTTTCAAAGGTAATACTAATCTATAACTGCATTGTAATTCATATTTCAAGGATGAATGAATAGGCCTAGTACAACTATGGTTATGAATACGGCAAGTCACACAGCCTGTTAAGTCATGCGTGGGTATGCTTCCCTTCGCTTATGATTCAATAATTTAAAAATCATCTTATTTTGTAAAATGAAATGTAAGAGTTATTATATGCTAAAATTAAATTGTTTCATTTGTTTCGCTTATAGGTGTTTTTGCAAGTTGGGAATGTACTAAGCATTTAATGCGATAACACGCCGGGTAGGGCAAAAGTATCATTCCTTCTTAGCATCAATTTTTGCTAAAGACAAGTCTTATAATTGGATGGTAATGCGGATATTGATCTTGTACCGATAAGAGGTTTTTTAGTAAAAATTACATCATAAATCAGCTGATTGATCTTATTTAGTACGGTAATCAGTGTATTAAACACTAACATTATTATAATTGAGCTGAAGATCAATTATAACAATTGAAGTATTATAAGCCTATTATAATTGCCTAGTCGCACTATAGTCAATAATATAACACCTATTCTTATACAGTAATTGACTGTTCGACTCAAAGCAATTGAACATGAAACTATGGTATACGCTGATATTCTTCGACAGTGAAGACTTAAGCAGAATTCTTGTTACTAATGTTTAATATTAGTTTAAGACAGAATAATGTTGTTTGTTTGTTTGTTTAATTTATTTCTCCACACACATGCACATATGAACATACATAACAAAATCTTAATAGTAAAACCAAATAAGAATAATAGTACATTACAGAATAAGTGTGTGGAAGGAGGCCAAAATAAGTTTAGAATAAAACTTTAAGCCGTGGCCACAAGTTAAAAATATATAGAAATCCAAACATATACAGTACATATATATATATATACACACACACATACATACATATACAAACAAACGTATATATATGGTGGCAGTCCGTTAAGTACAAATAAGAATGACCGACAGACAGACAGGCAGACCGACCGACCAGGAGACTTACCGGCCATACTCCGAGACCAGAGACTTTTTAAGATTGTATTTAAAAGAGTTGAGATTAGGTAAGGATTTTAAGGAAGTTTTTAAGGAATTCCATAATTTTGGACTAGTGTAAAATATGGATTTTTTTCTAGAAGAGGATGTATATTTTTCAAATAAAACGTTAGTTAGCAAATCTAGTATTATGATCATGTATATCAGACTGTTGTTTTGGAAATAGATTATAAATATGTGGGGGTAATGTTTCATTTCTAAAGCGATACATAAAAACATATATGTTTTTATGTTTTGTAATTTATGCAAATCAAATACATTTAGAACATTAAATTTGTAAAATAAAGGTTTGGTATGGGAAATACGAGTTGTCCCTGCACAAATGCCAAGTGGAAATGATTTGGCATAACCATTGCGTTTTCGAATCTCAATCTTGAGGTCGGGTTCGCGCCATAGGGATTCTTCTTGCAACAATTTCGTTTAAGAGCGAGAAGCCAAGCAAATTAGTGTTTCACGCTGTATTTCGCACCGACGTAAGCTGTTTTTTAGGTCATTTTTCGTCTTTCACAGTCGTATCTCAGCAAATACTTGTCGGATTTGTGTGTTCACTTCGGTATTTGAAAGGCAAATCTTTTCTGATTGCTGTCGTGTGTTTCAATTGTATTGCTTGAAAAAAGTCACCGTCTTTTTTTCTACTTTTCGATTGGTGCTATGCTGACCGCACACCGTGTAGAGGCTGCATGTTTACCTCTTTTTAGCGACTTCGTTGGCTTTAAATTGCATTTCGGCTGTTTACCAATCAAATATCTTGTTGTTCCCCCAGAATCTATATTC